CCCTCCTTCCCCTCTATGAGCCTACTGTCCCATCCAGATTGATGGCCCCACTTAGCGTTGCCCCTTTAAGTCCCTGTCCCCACCTGCATCAACCAGATGTTGCCGCTTTAAGCCTCGCGCGTTCCTATATAAGCCGGGCGCGCGGCCACATTCAGCATCCAAGATGGCGGACCTGCTCAGTTCTATTCTCAGCTCCATGGAGCGTCCGCCTCAAGTCGGGGACCAGGAGAGTCGGCGGAAGGCCCGAGGGGAGCCGGGTGACTTAATAAGAGTGGTGGAGTCGGGGGGCTCTGGGTATTCGGGTCACCGAAGCCGTGATGTAGCGCTAGACGCCCGATTTTTTTTTTATTATTTTTTTTTAACCGCACCGGCGCCTGAGCTTATCTCTATTGGTCTGGCTGCCTGTCCGTCATAGCGTTGTAGGACCAATCACAGGAGGCGTCATGTTAGTGTCTCCTTCATAGGCCGACTGGCAAGTAGGCGGGTTCTATCCCGGTCCGGCCAATGAAAGAGAAACTCTGCTTCCGGTTTATGGCTGATTGGCTACTCTGCCGCCCAGAATGTGGCGCAGGTTGATTGTGGTTGGCTGAAGAAACGCCGTGTCCTTCTCTGCGACTGGAAGAGGTCGGGATCAGTCAGGCCAATGTCTCCTCCTCCTGCTGGAGCAATCTAGCACTTCTATTGGTTGCTGGAGCTGCCAGTCATATAGAGTTAAAGGGCCAGTGTGCCATTTTTAATACTCATGGTCAGCTATGAGTGGCAGTGTGGCCTTTATGACCTCGTGGGATGGAGGAGAATGAGAGGAAATATTTATTAATGGCAGACTAGATAAATATAGCATTGTCCGCAGCAAATTAAATCCTAGAGTCACATGACCAACGTGATGGGTCGGTGCTCAGGCAGATCCGCCAGCTGCACCAATAGGCTTAAAGGGGGAAATAAAAATGGCCACCAACCAGGTTTACCAGCATTGCCGCCTCCTATAGCCATAGATGAATCTCTCGGAGGAGAGGAGCCTCTAGGGGGCAGTGCAGCCTCCTCACCCCTCCCTCAGGAGTGATTTGCACTAGTATGCAATGTGCAGGTAAGTGTCTCCACTTATGACCAGAGCTCAACATCGCTCTGAGTGGACTCTGTAGGTTCCGGGATCAGTATAGACCCAAGAAAACGCCACTGCATGTAATCTGTGTTCCCGAAAGTCTCTCCCTGCAACTTACTGTCATGTCTGTGATACCCGCAGAGCAAGCCGCCCGACTCAAGAAGATGCAGGAACATGAGAAGAGGCAGAAGCTGGAGTTCAGGAAACGGGTGAGTGACCCCCAGACACCCAATCACCCTCTTCCTGCAGGGTGACACCAAGAGAAGGGAGCTATGAGTCTGTCCTCCTCCTGCAGGGTGATACAGACAGAAGGGAGCTGAGTCTGTCCTCCTCCTGCAGGGTGATACATAGAAGGGGGCTATGAGTCTGTCCTCCTCCTGCAGGGTGATACA